CAGTTTGAACAGAGGTTTGCAGTCACACACATCTGATTCCCTTTTGCATCTATGGAGTTCGCAAACCAATTTTTCGAGCTGTTTTTCGCTGTTAGGATCCAACACCCTCACAATTACGATGTCCGAATCCCAAAACTAAAATATGACAAGATCAGAACCAGAAACAAAAGTGATATGGCTTAAAAGACTAGAAAAGATCAACTTTGTCAATAGACACATCCCACTGGAAAACAAACATGGAGGTTTGATGCTCACTTTTTCAGAAAATCCTTCCCAGTATGAACTGCGCAATGAATTTATTGATGAATGAGTCCAAGATTCTTGATGTATGTATTAAGGCCTTAAAAAGTCTTAAATTCTTATTTTTTATAAGTCTTATTTTTTAACAAAGGTCTTAAATTTCATTAGCCTATTATTTTGGATACTTAACCGGGCTGCAGTGCAATGTTAAATGGAGAGAGGAAAAAAAACAACAAACACGTAACGTGAATGAACGTCTAATCTGGAGTATGCGTAAATAAATACTTTACTCATTGCCACGGCGCCAGAAACCAAACAATAAGCAGAGTGGAGGAAGACGCTGGATGGATCATGGGGAAGTGTCGGTTTAATCCACAGTGGCTCTTAGATTCTAGATATATAGAATCATCAACTAAATTTGAACACATTTACACAACTACATTTTAACAAAATTTTAAAATTGTACATTTATAGGCCGCACCTGAATAGAAGCCGCAGGTGTCCATGTCTTCAAGAATGTTTTCAAGTTCAGGTCATGTGCTTTTATTGCCTCTGAAGTTTTTGTTGTCTGTTTGCGTTGAGTCAGTTTGTCACGCTGCCGTCACTAAAGTCTCACCATCAACTCACAGACATCGAGTTCACGTGCAGCAGCTGTTTCCTTCTTCCACAGTCACATCAATCGCATTAACTTCAAATCTGCATCATCTGTATTTCTTCATGTGTTTTCTATGAGTGTGTGTGAATGAAGCACAAAATAACTGTTCAAAACACAATCAGATGAGCATCTTCTTCGACGCAATGCTCATGTCTCCTGCAGAAAGAGCCTCTATTCTGTCTGTATCATGTCAGTGTCTCGTAGGATTTCAGCAGATGTCAGACTCTCGGGGACGGGGATAGGTGTATGGATCAGGTCTGAGTGGACGTTTGGCTACTGAAGTTTGAGACGTTTCTTCTTGTCATTTACACACACAGGTAAAACATATCGCCCCCTCACTAATGTTCATTTAACATCATAATTTATTTTATCACACGGCGATCAACAATCTGAGTGCGCTGACAATATCGCGAGCTCGTGTAGCAACTTCATGTGAACCCGAGATCCATGTGTAACCGCACAGACAGCGGCGTTTTTTGTTTTCTGCACTCAGGCTGCGAGTATCCACTGTGTTACCAAACCATAGACTGTGTACATGAATGAACAATGTGCCCAACACATAATCTGTCCATATGATAGACTGTATATATGAGTGGACATAGCGCGCTGGCATTAGGAAGTACAGCAGGAGGCTCTTCCAGCTCCTTCTGACTCTGGCTCCAATTGACTTACACTGGGGTCCTGTGGCTCCTCTCTCTGTACCTGCTGCTGTGAGCCTCGTCATTTTGGTCTTAAAATATTCATATTAACCTGCTCTACATCATCCTGAATTTTTTTTCTCGCTTTTTTGTCCATAAAAACGTTTGCGCTGTGCTTAGTCCACTTCTTTTATACAGTCTATGGTCCATATATTAGCCTCATTTTATTAGCTGCAGGGTTCAAAGTGTGAGAAAAAAGCAGCGGCTTATAGTTCATAAATGACAGTAGTTGGTTGGTCTTTATTAGAATTGGGTCTGGTGTTTTTCACTCACATAATGGGTGCGATGTTGGTCTTCATTTTCATTTAAGTGGTCTTAAAAAGGTCTTTAAAAAGTCTTAAATTTGGGGTAGTCAAACCAACAGACTGTATAAAAGTAAGACTAAGTGTGACCCACAGCGTTCAGTGCCGCTCAAATGATGCTCACGGTTAAAGGACTGAATCTGGTGCCAGGGTTTATGTTATGAATAGGATTTTTTTTTTTATGGACAAAATAGCGAAAAAAAATTCAGGATCATGTGAGCAGGTTAATACGAATATTTTAAGACCAAAATGACGAGATGCAGCAGGCACAGAGAGAGGAGCCACAAGATCCTAATGTAAGTCAATTGGAACCAGAATCAGAAGGAGCCGGAAGAGCCTCCTGGAGAACTTCCTATTTGGCACACGGTGTCTAGCACGTTAGCTACATCCACTCATATATACAGTCTGTGGTCAAACCTGGGGATACCCTGTACATAGAGACTGTAGCCGGAGCCGTATGCAGTCATTTAGAAGCCGTCAGGGTCTGTGCAGCCTGTCAGCAGGCGTCAGGTCCGTGTGCAGTCGACTCAACCTCTCCACCAACACTTTTTAATGTTTATCAGAAAATAACTCCTCAGTATTTTGTTTGAGAGTCATTTCTGGGACATTTAGGGCCGGATTCGGGATTAGGGACAACAACTTAGATTTTGGGACTGTCCTGAATTTTTTGGGGTGTCTGGTCAACCGAGATCAGGGGTCGGCAACCTTAAATCCTCAAAGAGCCATTTGGAATGTAACACACAGAAAAGAAAAACACCCAGAGCCGCAAAACCCTTTTGACATCTAAAATAAGGATAATGCTGCATATAATTTTTTTTACCTGTATGCTCTGTGTAACACACTGTAGTAGTGTGCTGCATTTATGAAATCAATGAAAGGCTACAGAGAATATTTGTCCATTCATATATACAGTCCTTGCATATGACCTGCAAATTTATAATCTGTGAAAAGTTTTCACAGAAGCACAGAACAGACTCACAGAACACCCCTCTGTCACAGAAAGAACACTCATATTCCACTGAGTCATGTCCTTTAGTCTGACAGAAGCTGAACCACATCAGCGACACAAAGAGAGCTTATAGTTTATGCAAATGTGACATATGGTTTTAAGTTTAATTTCTGTAAACTTAAACAAATGTGCGCAAAGCTGCTTTAAACACATTATTGCTCAATGTCTATTTGAGTTCTCCTTGTAGGAAATAAAAATCCAAACTTAAATTATCCACCCACAGCGAACCAAAACTGCTGTGTGTTTGTGTTCCGTCATTTTGTAGTTCCGCATGTACCAGTCTCATCAGCCGTGATAGAAAATGAATCTGCCCACGTAGCAATAAACACTGTTTTCTTCAGAAACATTTCTTTTCTTGGATTTATCCATCATTTACCTACCAGGGGTCGAAAAAGCTCAATAAATCATGCTGCTGGTGTCGGTGGTACATTTCTTTGAATGTTCCAAGATTACCATCATCTACAAATTCAGAATTACATGTAAAAACAAACAAATTAAATTAAAAATACATTGTGATTAAATACTGATTATTTATTTTCAAAAGTCAGGGAGCTGTCACAGAAGGATGAAAGAGCCACATGCAGCTCCGGAGCCGCAGGATGCCGAACCCATCCCTAGATATTTCTTTTTGCAGTGTAAACAGAACCAGAAAAATTACATAGTCCACCTTTAACATATCAGTTAGTTTTTCAGTTATTGATCAACTGAAAAAATTACTTTTTGTATGATCAGAGTGAGTTTTTGCAATGGTCCTATTATTTATGGGGTAAGACAAAAAGACAAAGTCAGTCAACAGCTCTCTCTTCAATATCTTAAAAAGACAATCCCTTCCACCATAGTGACTGTATTGACATGTTCATACTGTCCTTTCAAATCTGCGTTTTTTATTTCCTAATCTGATGAATAAACACACAGATATCAGATAGCGGGAGAACATTCAGCTGTTTGCAGAAAGCCTGAATGAGCATATTTGAGGAAATAACAGAAAACAAGTATCTGCTCTGATATTTGGCAAATACACTTCACTTCTTTGAAACGTGTTGAGGTGTGTGTTAGTTTTTTGTGCTTTAAAACAACAAACCAGATGCCGAAACAGCCGTACAGGGATGTGCAAAGAGGAACTCACACAATACACAGGCCGCTGCCAGACTGAGACAGATCCACAGAAGAGGATGCGGGACACAAGAAACTGACTTGTTTGAAATGTAAATGTCATCACAAAGTAGAACAGAGCAGTTTGAGTTTTGGAGATGCAGTGCAGGATTACTCAAACACATGTGAATAAAACAAAACAACTCCAGGTCTGTTTTTGACGAGGTTACAGCATTCTAACATGGCTAAACGCTCACAGGGATTTTGCATAATATATAACCTTTAAAGTTCACTACGTAACTTTTTGGATTTGACTTTGAATCTGAGAGAGAAAAGACAAACGAGGATGGAAAAAAGGGCCTGTGACAGAGACCAAAGGTTTAGGAAGAGCTCAAGGTTTGTCACTGGTTTGTGTTTTTGTTTTTGCCAGGACATGTTTTTGAACAATGTGGAGATGAAATATGGCTAACATGTTATACGTAACTACACTTTTAAAAGAAATCAATTACAGAGCTTTCAGTGTTCAAAAATACAAAAAAAAAGGAGAAATTCTATTTGTCATATGGACAAAAGTTTATTGTTTCCACCTGCATTTTGACCAGAACTGCAAGAAGCAGCTTGGATGATCTGCAAAACATATTCGAACAAAATAAACTTTTGTCCAGTTGACAAATTGAATTTCTCCTTTTCCCATGAATTCCTATAGTGAGTGAGCTTGCCTCTCCACAGATCTGACCTGTATCTTGGCCTGGTAGCATTATGGGCTTGTCTCCATGGAAACAGATAAGTTTAATGTTATACTGTGGGACTTTCTAGACAGAGCAATAACATCTCCATGAAGACAAGCAGGTGGTGAAAGGTTTCAGATCTCCCTGGAAGTGATCCATATGACAGCTTTTTAGAAGCTTGCAGTTGCACTGGGCTTATGGCAAGGAAAGAACAATTGCAAGGAAGAACTCTGATTGTTGTACATGTTGAGTAGGGGGACCTCTGAAGTTCTCACTTCCTCAGAAGGTGATATAACCTATTGTTTATATTTGAGTCATGCAGAGGCGAGAAAGGACACTGCTGAAGAAGGTTCAACTACAGGTGAGTAAATCGACTGAGTAAGTTTACAGTATCGGCCAATGATCATAGGTTTACTATAGTTAGCAGCAGTTGTGTGTGTATATAACTTTATCTTCATCGTGTGTGGTGCTTATATAGTTCTGTGCTAATATTGTAGATAGTAAAGATATTTATCATTCATAAATGCAGTTGTGCTGATGGCTCCTTCCAGTGCAATGCTTAAATAAAAACAGAACCGGTTTTTATATATAGATATTTACGTATCCAAGTATAAAGATCACTTTATGAAAACTAAGTAGTAACATTTCGACATTAAAATTGTAACTTCATGAAAATAAAGTCACGGTCAAGATGTAATTTACACACTTGATGTTTGGATTTAGGGACTGATGATGTATCAGAGTCAATGCAGACTGCATAAGAATGAGGCTTGGATGAGTTTAAAGCCAACATAAAAAAAAAAAAGTCTGTACAACAGATGGCAAAGTTTATAATGCTGCCCTTTAAAACTGCCCACATGTGTGCAGGTTATTAGACAGATCACTACTGCAGGTTACATGACACTTCCTGCTGTTTTGCATCAATCACAAACTGTTGAATCAAGTAAGCTACATTTCCCCATGGAGTAACCAAAAGTCTGCAGGCTCACTGGGCAGGACACCAGCCGCACTCGAGCCACAGAAAAGTAGAGGATTCTCAGTATCTCAGTGTCTTTTCTAAGCGTGGGCACTTTGCACACAGTCATTTATAGATGTGCTTATTGTATTACAGCATAGCCCCTTGCACTGGGCAATCCATAAATAATTCCAGAAACAGAGTGATGGATGTGGTAGAGATGTGTAAAACAGTACAGGTGACACTCACAACCAGCTAACAGAACACAAACACGGGGGTTCATATTTTGCTGTATCTTGCGTGTCCAGGTGGGGCTGTGTGTGATCACTGGGGGCTGGAGTGGGACTTTACAAGTACAAATACGATGATGGCATCTGAACCAATCTGACCACTGTGGCCATTACACAACAGACCAGCTGATCTCCTCTTTTCCCCTGGTCACACTCACTCCCGGTGCTCCACTCCCATGTCTCTCACCTGAGTTTCCACTGCTGCTCCTGCTCACAGTTCACATTCTCGTGTCAAGGGTGTGCACTGCATTTGGTTCCAAACACGTTGATGTGTGGGCGGATTTATAGACAAATAAATGTTTCTGATTTTACTGCTTTGCACACAGACATGTAACAGAGCAGGATGTGTCAGTGTGTGTAACAGAGCAGGATGTGTCAGTGTGTGTAACAGAGCAGGATGTGTCAGTGTGTGTAACAGAGCAGGATGTGTCAGTGTGTGTAACAGAGCAGGATGTGTCAGTGTGTGTAACAGAGCAGGATGTGTCAGTGTGTGTAACAGTGTGTCAGTGTGTGTAACAGAGCAGGATGTGTCAGTGTGTGTAACAGAGCAGGATGTGTCAGTGTGTGTAACAGTAGTGTTCATGTGCACTACGTCTCTTGAGCCGCTGTACAAAGCTCTGCTGATCGCTGGTGCTTAACAGAGCAGCACAAATGAGACGTGTGTCTTCTCACTCCACTGCCACAGCACTGGACTGTCAGTCAAAGCACAGGCCTGATTCCTGTCACTGTCTATAAGACCCAGCCTACTCCCCGGCTCATGGAAACCTCCCTACCGATGACTAAATTTATAAACTAACCAAAGTGGCACAATGGGAATAATTAGGTCACTAAATGAAAGAGCACGAGGATGTGAGGAAATGCAACACTGCAGCATTAGAACCACAGACAGACTAAGAAAAGACATTAGGACAGCGCAGTATTGCCAAATAAAAGAAGCCTTGAGCATGTTACATGTTGTGTTTTTCAGTGGATTAGTCCCATATTTATTTTTACAATTCTGGCAATTCATTAAACACTCCACACCACTCCCTCAGTCTGCTTCACTGCAGCTGATACTTAGACATGACACACCTCTTGTTAAAAGCTTCATGCCTCATGCTTGTGCTAGAGCTGAGACCAGGACCAGGGGCCCAGGGTCACACAGCACCAGAGCAGCTCCAACAACACACACACAAATCCACATACGCCTGACACCGGAGCACATCATGACAGCCAGTTCATTTTACACACATTTCAACTGTGGGACACCTCAGATTTACTCAAAACCAACAGAAACATTTCTTCATTTGCTTTTGAGAGGACTGAGGTAGTGCCCCCTCCATCTGCACTGTCCTGTTCTGTCTGTCTGCGGCTGGAGAACAGAAACTGGTTTAAGTCAATCATTTCTGTGAAACTGACTTTTCTAACAGGACATAGGGCCACTCCACGGGGGAAAACTTGTCTTACTCATAACTTTTTTGTGTTTTTTGTATTCAAATGATAAAAACATTATGCTTCCATATGTAGGAACAAATACAGTGTCCAGTGGAAACTTTCTGCATCTTATAATAATTCATTAGCAAAACACTTTTCTTGTTATAATGTAATGAAACATTGACAGTTTATAACACAACTCACAGCAAAGGGACGCCATTCAGCTACAGAATACTAACTTCTCCTTTTCTGTTCTAGGCGTGCAGTTGAAACCAACTTCCTCAAAAATGGACTCTACAATCATGAGATCATTTGTGATACTCTTTCAGATTTACTCACTCTTTTTGAGTAACTTTGGCCTCGGTGTCAGAGGGTTTTCACTCAGGAGTTGTTACCTTTTTGAAGATTCAGCCATTTGCTCCCAGAACCAACTGACACAGGTCCCCACAGACATCCCTCCCACTGTGACGAGCATCGATCTGAGGAACAACAACATTTCAAAGATACAACTTTTAAATTTTAGACATTTTCCAAATGTGACAAAGCTTGATCTGAATCAAAACTCCATTTCAAACATTGGTAAACACACATTTTCTCAGTTAATTTCCCTTAAATTGTTGATATTGAGCAACAATACCCTTGTCAAACTTGAGGATCAAGTGTTTGATGGTTTGTCCAAACTCATAGAGTTAAGGGTTAGCTTTAATCAAATTGATTCAGTGGCACCAAATGCCTTCAGATCCCTGAAGAGCCTTTCACTTCTTGACCTGTCCAGTAATAGACTCTGCTCCATTGCACAGCTCCGTTCATCCATACAGCACATGCCACAGTTAAGCAACCTGATCATTAAAAACAACAGAATTACAACTTTAAGGTCCCAAGATTTATCAAATTCCTCAACAATTTACTCTCTTGATGTGTCAGAAAATCCACTTACAAAGTTTGAGGTAACTACAGGTGCCTTTTCAAAACTGAAAAGGTTGATCATTGGAGATCCCACAGTTAAGGCCAACCTGTCGTGGTCTGTGCAGAAGCACAGTCTGCTGGCTCATGTGACGTCTGTGGACGTTAGCGGGGTGGAACTGGCATCTATGGATGAATGGAGAAAACTATTTGCAACTTTTCAGTCCTTAAATTATTTACAATTAAACTCAATGCAAAGCAGACTTAGTGACTTGATAAACATGTCCTGCTCCATGCGAAAATTATCAAACCTACAAATACAGAAAAGCACAGACTTTTCTATCAAGTCAAGTTTATTCCAAATGTGCAAAAAGGTAAATAAAATGGATCTGCAGGAAAACAAGATTAAACAAATTGAAAATGGTTCCTTTGCTCATTTTGATTATCTAAAGGAACTCAGTCTCAGCAAGAACAGCCTCCCAAGTGTCCCATTTGCAATTAGAAATATACACAAACTTCGAAAACTCAAACTCGCCTTTAACCAAATCACAGAACTTGGATGTCAGGACTTTTCAGGACTGACAAACCTCAAAGAACTGGATCTTCAAGGAAACCATATTTCAGCACTGAGCAATTGCTCCTTTGTTGGATTATTGCAGTTGGAAATTTTGAAACTACAAGAAAATGCATTATTGGAGTTGGGCACTGCTTTCCAAAACAGTTTATCAAATCTTAAAGTCCTGTACTTCAATCTGAACAAACTCACTGTTGTTCCTAAATGTGCATTCACTGGTTTACGTTCACTTACAAAACTGTCATTAGCCCAAAATCAGATTCAAACTCTAGAGGAGGACTGCTTCTTTGGTCTGACAAGTCTCATGGATTTACAACTGCATGAAAATAAACTAAAAAAAGATGCACTTGACAGTGCTCCCTTTAAGTATTTGGTAAATCTAAAACAACTTAATCTACAAAAAAATCATATCAAATATGGAGACGTTGATCCCTTAGAGGAGCCTCCATTTATGAACTTATCACATTTAGAGAATTTAATGTTTTCAGTCCAGCACTCTACTGGACGGGCCCTTTTCCCTTTGAATTTCCTTCAGGGTCTAACAAATCTCTTACATTTCTCATGCAATAACATTCAACTTCAGAAATTTCCTGATGAATTTTTCACCCACACACCTCATCTCATCTCCTTGGACTTTGGTGCTAATGATCTCTTTGATTTGTCTCCAAATCTGTTTGCTCCAATCTCAAATCTCACTCAACTCAGAGTTACAAGCACTAACCTTCGCTCCTTAGACTTTCTGATCCACGCCAACCTGACAAATCTGAAGATTCTCTTGGCAAAAAAGAACACATTTTCTGTGATCAATGAAGACACCATCAAGTCCTTACCTAGGCTGACCGGGTTAGATCTGGAAAAAAATAGCTTTACATGTGACTGTGACAACTCCTGGTTTGTGCAGTGGATTGTAAACAACAATCAAACTCAAGTGGTAGGTGCCCATAACTTCACATGCAGCTACCCGCCACAAAGTAAAGACTCAAAACTGTTGGATCTCAATGTACAGTCCTGTCTTGTGGACATTGGCTTTATCTGTTTCATATCCAGCTCATGTCTCACTGTTGTGACCCTTGTGGCCTCATTCATCTACCATTTCAGCCGATTTCAGCTGACCTACGCCTACTACATCTTCTTGGCCTGGCTGTTTGATTCTAAAAACCGTAAGAAGCGAGCGGCGTGTCGATATGACGCCTTCGTCTCGTACAACGCTAAAGACGAGGCCTGGGTCTATAGAGAACTAGTGCCACATCTGGAGCAGGAGCAAGGCTGGAGACTCTGCCTGCACCACAGAGACTTCCTCCCAGGTACATTCCCCTGTGTGATACATGAAACTGTCCATCATCACATACAGTGGCAGTCAAAAGTTTGGACACACCTTCTCATTCAATGTTTTTCTTTATGTTTAGACTTTTCCACATTAGATCCATACTGACCACATCAAACATATGGAATTAGAAGTATAGAAATATTCAGATTCCTCAAAGTAAACCGTCTTTGCCGTGTATGACTGCTGCAAACCTTTGATGATGAAGTCTAGGAATGCCAAGAGTTTGCAAAGCACTAATCAAAGCAAAGAGTGGCTATTTCACTCTTTTATGTTTACTAAATTCCATGTGTGTTCATTCATAGTTTTGATGGCTTCAGTGAGAATCTACAATGTATTTAGCCATGAACTAATTGATTTCACATCGAGGAATAAGATTAGCATTAAGTTAAACTAAACCAACTGGATTTACTTTGAGGTCGATGTTTGGCTACCAACCAGATCGCTTCATCAGAGCTTGTGTTGGTGACTGTGACTCCCACTAGATTTAGTGAAAATTAAGACAAAAGTGTATCCAAACTAGACTAAACTATTATAGTGTACATAGTCACTTAATAAAGATTGAACAACTACTTCATGTTCACAGGGAAACCCATTGTGGAGAACATTGCTGACGCCATTTATGGAAGCAGGAAAACCATCTGTGTGATCAGCCGCAGATATCTGCAGAGCGAGTGGTGCTCCAAAGAGATGCAGCTGGCCAGGTACTGCTGTTTAAACTGTGTAAAAGATATACATTCAGAACAGATTCTTATTTGGTCTTTGCTGTAGTTTCCGTTTGTTCGATGAGCGCGAGGACGTCCTGATCCTCCTGTTCCTGGAGGACATCCCTGTGTCTCACGTGTCTCCGTATTACCGCATGAAGAGGCTGCTGAGGGGACGCTCATACCTGAGCTGGCCCCGCGCCGCAGACAACCCACAACTGTTCTGGGAGAAACTACGGCAAGCCCTGAGGTCCACAACCACAGCAGAGGAGGACAGACTACGGCTCACTGTCAATCAGATGCACCGAGACAGTGTTCACCTTATTGACTAAATAAATGTTGTCTCACAATGGAGAAAGGTTTTTCATAGATGCTGGTTTGAAAACCTTTCATTCAAATGATAGAATATTTTGTTTTGAATTGTTGATTGCTGTGACTAGCTTGCTAATTTTTAACCTCTCCAAAACATAGGACCTACTATTGTGGGGTGTTTTGCAATGATGGCAGCAGAAAAAGACCACTTTAAGTTTCTGTAGATTTACACTGAAAAATATATAGAAAATATGACTCTGCTCTTGTTGTATTTGTATGTTTATGCTCATTGAATTTAGTTAAAATCCCAACCCCATTACTCCCAGAATTTTATCTGGCAATTTTCAAACCAATATGCTGTAGTAATTATACTTTGTTTTGTACTATCCATCCATCCATTTTCGTCCCCTTATCCGGGGCCGGGTCGCGGGGGCAGCAGCCTAAGCAGGGACTCCCAGACTTCCTTCACCCCAGACACGTCCTCCAGCTCCTCCGGGGGGACCCCGAGGCGTTCCCAGGCCAGCTGAGAGACATAGTCCCTCCAGCGTGTCCTGGGTCTTCCCCGGGGCCTCCTCCCGGAACAGATGCCCGAGCCACCTCAACTGGCTCCTTTCGACGTGGAGGAGCAGCGGCTCTACTCCGAGCTCCTCCCATGTGACTGAGCTCCTCACCCTATCTCTAAGGGAGCGCCCAGCCACCCTGCGGAGGAAACCCATTTCAAGCGCTTGTATCCGCGATCTTGTCCTTTCAGTCACTACCCAGAGCTCATGACCATAGGTGAGAGTAGGAACGAAGACTGACCGGTAAATCGAGAGCTTCGCCTTTCGGCTCAGCTCCTCTTCACCACAACGGTCCGATACAGCGACCGCATCACTGTCGAAGCTGCACCGATCCGCCTGTCAATCTCACGTTCCGTCCTTCCCTCACTCGTGAACAAGATCCCGAGATACTTGAACTCCTCCACTTGAGGCAAAACTTGTTTAGTACTAGGGTGACCAAATGTCCGTTTTTCCCCGGACATGACCGTTTTTTATATCCTGTCCTGGGTATCTGGGTTTTTTTTTCATAAAGTCATGGAAATGTCCAGGTTTTCATTATGTGGCAGAGAGGTAGATGGGAGGGTAAGAAAACCAACGTAATCCTAATTAACATAAAGCCAACAACGCCACTGGGCATAGCTCAGAAACTAAAACTCAATTTACTAAACTAAATTAAGGCTCACAGGTTCGTTAATTGACAGAGACAAGTGACTTACAAAACATGAAATAATTTATTACCATTATTCATATGTTCCCTCTTGTTAGATTAACTTTAAGAGTAGACTATTCACTGTTCACATCACTGCCGATTAAAAGCTTTTCTGGACTCAAAGACACTTTACAGTTTATTATTCATTCACTCCAGACCCAGTGGTGTAAACTATTATTGTAGCCACAGCTGCCTTAGGGGAGACTGATGGAAGTGAGGCTGCCAATCTGCACCATCGGCCCCTCCACCACCACCATCATTCACACACACACCACTTTCATACTAGACAATGTGGGTGAGGTGTCTTGCCTAAGGACACAACAACAGTTTTTATGACTGGCGCCCCCCTGTGGCTCCTGATTTTCCCAGTGGTGTCATATCCAAGTCCTGACCAGGCCCAGCCTCTGAGCTTCTGAGATCTGACAGGATCAGGCTTTGACAAGCTGGTATGGCCACTGTTGCCACGAAGCATCTGGACACCAGATTTGGTTTGGTGACACCAAAGTCTGACTATCTATTGTCTATTGTGGATCTGTTCAAATAACTGGAGCGGGTGTTGCTGCTTGCATCTGTCTTGAGTTGGCCTAGTGACCACTCACTAGTACTTTTTTTCAAAATTTGTTTACGTACTTTGTACAAAATTGACTTTACATCACAGAGTAAAATAAATTTAAAAAGCATTCCACACAATCTCCTTTTATATCAAAATGACAAATGAAAAAAAAAAAAAAACCTCTTATGCATCATGTGCCCAAATAAGAAAAAAATTGAATAAATAAAGTGAAAGCCCGTGAATCAAAAGAAAATAGTAGATTAAGTAAATAACTAGAGATACTTCTGTTTTTCTGTGTATGTATTTAAAGTGTTGAGTGAGCCTTATCTCCTCTGCCTGCTGCTGTTGTGTCTGTGTGTGGACAGTGGAAATGTACTGGAGTTTATCATTGACCACGACCTCGGGTTAAACATTACTGCGAGCTCGTCGATCTCACTCTTCTATTGCAGCTTTTATTGAAGCGGGTCAGACGTAAAAATACCAAGATCACAGTCATAATGTTAAGAATTCCTTGCATATTTTTATCATGTTTATGAGAGTGGAAGTTGTAAAAGTGTTTGTGTGTGTCATGTGATGAAACTGAGTTAAAAGGCGGCCTGAAGAGTTCCTTAGTATGGTGTAAAGGCAAAGATATTTCACTATAGTTCACCTCCTGATTGTTAAGTTTGAAGAGTTTCCCCGACGTGTAACTCCATAAACCCAGAGAATGTTTATCCTCATAACATACGCACCACAATTCCATGATATAGGCATGGGAAGACACTTTTTATAGGAAAACAAGCACCGGAACATAAAGCCCACTGCGCCACCTTCAGGCTAGGAGAGAAAGTACATTTTGGCTCCTACATGTGGCATTAAAGCGCCTCTGACAGGTTGGACTACTCATTTTACACAGTTAAGATCTTTATATTCAAAATTTGTGCAAAAAACATTCACTTTTCCTTTCTGTTTTTCCCAATTTGACCATTTTTTTGTTTTAAAAGTTTTAAAATATTACTTCTTGGTTTGGAAATTATAACGTCACACTAGGGATTTTCATAACTGTTACCTAGAAAAACTCTTTTGTACACGGAAATTATTATGTGACAAATACAAATATAAGAAAACACCTTCATTTGTTGAAATCATGTTTAAAGTCTCAGAAAAATACATTTCCTATGTGTAAAATGTGCTGAACTTTTGGATAGAATTCTCTCAGTCTGACGTCATCATTATGTTTGAACTCTTCACTTTTTCAAATTTTTCTACTTTTCTTTCCAAAATGTTTCTTGGTTGATGCAAAACTATAATTTATATTTACAACAGTTGTAATCCCACCAAATTACCATAGTTTTTGGACTATAATGTGCACTGGATTATAAGGCGCAATATCAATAATGTTGAATTCTCTCGTCTATTTTCATACATAAATTGCACTGGATTATAAAGAGCATTAAGTGAAACAAACGGATGACACTTGAGACTGATCCTTAGTCCAGGTGTCCACGATCTATTGGCAGATCCATTGGCGATGCCTTCCTGTCTTGGTGAATGTGGATTATGAATGTGAATGTGGGTGGATCATTTAAGTTTGTTTTTTTATTTCCTACGAGGACGACTCAAATACACATTGAGTAATAATCTGTTTAATGCAACTTTGTGCACGTTTGTTTACGTTTTACAGAAACAAAACTTAAAACCACATGGCTCATTTGCATAAACTATAAGATCTGAAAAAAACCCAGCTCACTCACTCTTAGTTCGCGAGGCTCCTGACTACAGCAGCCGTAATGCTCCGACAATCCATCAAGCGGTGCGGCTCGAACTAAAACACTGACAGTTTTTTGAGTGCCCTGTACCACATAAAATCGATTTGAGGTTAGTACGCACAACCAAAATTAATACATAAAGGCGCACTGTCGATTTTTGAGAAAATGAAAGGATTTTAAATGCGCCCTATAGTCCGAAAAATACGGTATGTCAAAATGAAAAGTTATGTCATGTACTTTGCATTTTTAGGTTTTTATATTGCTGGAAAAATACCTTGAAAAACATGCATGCGTACTCTGAGCGGGGTCAACTCTCCACAGATCTGACTTGTCACTTGGCCTGGTGGGTCACCTGAACATCTCCATGGACATTCCAGGAAAAAAGGCATCATCTACATGGAGACAAACAAAAAACAATATCGTGATATCGTATCGTCAAAAGTCTCACAATAATACCATGGACTATCACAATATATCAAATCACAAGTCTCTTTGCTTAAATTCATTGTTGTGGTGCAGTAATAGCTACAAAAACAGAGGGAACTACATAGACCATGATCCTTTGCTGTTTCAGTGCAGACTACATGAAGAAATAACTTATTAAGCACTTTTAAATCTTTATTCTTTCGATTATAACAGTACAAAAGGCTTATCATGGCATTTTAAAAGGAAAAAAGTATTAACCTCCTCTAAATATCGCATTAAATATCGTACTGTGAGAGGCATGTTGTGATAATATCGTAGTGAGAGATTTGGAGATTGTTACATCCCTACAACCTGACTGATGATGGCGCTCACTGCAACTTCTGGAATAAGAAAATATTAATTTTTATATCCTGTTCATGTTCTGAGAGATTGATAGGGTCTTGTACTTTTTCTTCGTTCATTTCTGTTTGTCCAGCTCCAGATAAGAGATAACTCTCAATCTTATGGACATGTTAAACATTCAAGACAATCTGTAACTCATTATTTTCAGTCAAACCAACCTGAATCTGGACCAGTTTGTACGCCAAACCCACAAGTAAAAAATAACCCTAAAAAAAAAAAAAAGTAACAGGACTTTTATATGAATTCTGCATGGACTTGTTTGCCTTCTTAAAAGTCCCTAAATCTAATTCTAAATCTAATTTTTTGTGAAATCTGCTTTAGTTTTGACTTGGGACTTCAAAACTTGGGTCAAAACCCAAGAAAAGCACAATCAACTTGTCATTCAGACCATCCCCAGAGACTCCAGCTATACTTATTCTAAATGTAGGCGGAATTTGAAATCTGACTTTCCTCATTGTAGAGCAGAGGTCTCCAACCTGTAACTTGGGAGCTGCCTGTAGCTTTCCACTCCCTTCCAAGCAGATCGCAAAGAGATTTCTGAATTACACGTATTGTTCTGAATAACTCAAATTGGATTGATTTAATGTACAATCTGGAATTTTGGACATAAGGCCTCATTTCCTAGTGAGACAGAGTGTTGGAGACGTGTGGAGACACTTTTTAAAATCTTCCATCCAGTCCTTGTATTTGCAGAGGTCACTGGTGCTAGACTAGTGCATGTCAATGGCCACAGTTCTCCTGCCACTAAAAACAGTCTTACCCACTCCACAAAACACCCAAAACAAATCTATTATTACACCAGACTGTCCATGTGAATGTCTGTGTTGATAGAATAATGTTGATGAAATAAAACTAACCTTGCATTTGAAGAATTTATGTGTGA